ATGCAAGTGTGAACAAAATGTCCTCAAAATCGGGTAGTCGGCCACAAAATGCTCGACACATGAATAGGTAAATATTGAAAAGAACTTTCAGGAAAGCTGAGACTCCTTTTCCTCTCTATGTCCTACCTCCAAAAAAATTTTTTATGAGACGGAGTCTCACTTTGTCCCCCCCCCAGTAGAGTGCCATGGCATCATAGCTCACAGGAACCACAAACTCACTGCCACCTGACCCAGCCAAAAGTAGGAAAAATTTTAAGAGTCCATACAAGCCTCTCCAAGCTCTAAAAACTATCTGCAGCTGGGCACAGTGGTTCACACCTATAATCTTAGCACTCTGGGAGGCTGAGGCATGTGGATTGCCTAAGCTCAGGCGTTCGAGAACAGCCTGAGCAAGAGCAAGACCCCATCTCTAAAAATAGTTGTGCATTATGGCAGGCACCTATAGTCCCAGCTACTCAGGAGGCCAAGACAAGAGGATCACTTGAGGCCAGGAGTCTGAGGTTGCTGGCTAGGAATCTGAGGTTGCTGTGAGCTATGATGCCATGGCACCCTACCCAGGGTGACAAAGCAAGACTATCTCAAAAAAACCTGTAAAGTTTACAGGGCAATGTAGGCAATGAATGCAATAAGATACTGCCACTATCCTAACTAGAAAGTCTTCACCCCTCTTCTGTGGTTCAAAGCCACCAAGAGAGTGCAACACAGCAGTGTTCTAACATGTCAGAATAGAACCCTCCTGCTCAGACGTAAGAGATTTTAATTGATTGGTAATGTTATACTAAAACTACTTGTTTTGCTTATTTAACCTGAAACAATATAAGCCAATTAGACTGTGCAAGTAAGTTATTTAAAAATGTCAATTTATTTTAACCATTAGAGATCAATGAATCATGAAACTGAATGCTTACCGACCTATTTCCACAATTTTATATGGAAAACCTAAACCACAATACACTAATAAGAATTTATAACATTTTGAAGTTGCCCAGCATAGGTAAGCTCTCAAGGATTCAACAGAAATAAATAAACTTAATGTTTTGCATCTGATCAGCAAGCAAGCCTTCCTCTTTTCTGAATACTGAAAAGATGAAAAGTCTTTTTATAACTAAAAATAAGATGCCCATTAACCAGATAGGGACTCTCAGAATACAAACAGCGTAAGATTTAAACAAGATTAATAAATTAGTATTTGAAAAGGAAAGCCAAATAAAATTGAAAAGATGACTTCATTACCCATTGCCACTTACATATGTGTGCTGTACGTGAATATGATTTCATCTAGAGACATATTCGGGGTGACCATAAAGTCTGTGTATGATTTAAATAGCCAACTATTTGGGCAGCACCTGTGGCTGAGTGGGTAAGGCGCTGGCCCGATATACCGAGGGTGGCAGGTTCAGACCCGGCCCCAGCCAAGCTGCAACAAAAAAATAGCCGGGCACTGTGGCAGGTGCAGGTAGGCCCACCTACTTGGGAGGCTGAGGCAAGAGAATCTCCTAAGCTCAGGAGCTGGAGGTTGCTGTGAGCTGTGTGACCCCACGGCACTCTACCAAGGGCCATAAAGTTACTCTGTCTCTACAAATAAATAAATAAATAGCCAACTATTTAAAAAAAAAAAAAAATGCACACGAACTTTATGGACACCCTGATCCAGACCTTTCAGGACTAAGTGTAAGCATTTGGTTATATTAAATAATACTCCACAGAGGAATAATAAAAAAAAAAAATGTGTTGAATATGTTTATACCTTTTAAGACAAATAATATCATATTCATGCATATCTCACGGCACAGAGATTTATAATATGAAGAAAGGGAAAAAGTATAAATGCCCAACAATAACAAGATAGATAAATTAGAGTATATCCCAAAATGGAATGCTTTGCATTTGAATCAAAAGTATTTTTCTAATACAATTCACACCAAGGGAAATCTCTGTAAGAAAAATGCAGAAACAATTAGTATGCAAATAACGCACATGGTTCCAAGTGGCGCACAGGAGTGTGTGCATAGATACTAACATTTTAATACTTGTCACTGCTGGGTTTTGGAGTTCTGGGTAATTTTATTTTGTTGTATTCTACTAGTTTCCCAAATTTTCTAAATAGATACATATTATTTAAAGCAAAGGTGGATATGGTTAACTGGCAGTGAGCATCTCAGCTCTCCTCCAGCGGGCCTTCCTATGCTGCGGAGTCTGGCCCACTAAGGCTCAGTTTCCCAGACCCTTCCACAGACAAGAATCTGAATGTAAGTTACTTTCCACATTCAGATCCAACAGCAGGAGATTTTATTTTATTTATTTATTTATTTTTAAAGAAGTTTTTGGCCGGGACTGGATTTGAACCTGCCACCTCTGGCATATGTGGCCAGTGCCCTACTCCTTTGAGCCACAAGCGCCGCCCTATTTATTTATTTTGAGACAGAGTCTCAAGCTGTCTGTCCCCCTGGGTAGAGTGCTGTGGCATCACAGCTCATAGCAACCTCCAACTCCTGGGCTCAAGCGAGTCCCCTGCCTCCAACCTCCCAATTAGCTGGGACCACAGGCGCCCACCACAACGCCTGGCTTTTTGGTTGCAACAATCGTCGTTGTTTGGCGGCCTGGGCTGGATTTGAACCCACCACCTTAGGTGTATGTGGCCGGCGCCTTAGCCACTTGAGCCACAGGCGCCGAGCCCCAACAGCAAAAGATTTTAAAGGTGGCTGAGAAACAGGGACTTTTGCTGGGCTTCTGTTACTGGCAGCATTACAAGTGATGAGAGGTGAGGCGAGGACGCCTGGAGACAGGTGCTAGGATCTCGTGGGCAGGGTCCAGGTCCCTGGGCTGCCATTCCCACTTCCTGACCTTGGTAGAAGGCACAGTTCCCTGGGCAGGCCAGAAGTGTATTACCACCTAGTTTTCATGATTTTGTGAGAAGCAAATTCTAAGTGTTAATTCCTTTTGTGTTTAAGATATCTCTTCCATTTAAAAACAGGCTGGGAGGGCTGCGATGGGAAAGACTCACACTCAAAGATGAGCAATTTAAGAAAACAACCCTGATTGCCTTAATGACTTCTGACCTGGTATCCTTCAACTAGTTGAAAATCTAGCTGAAATAGCTTTTTTTAAACTGTCAACCTGTTTATACATTCTAAATAGAATATCCATGTAAATGAAATTAAGTCTGCTCTGAACAACAATTAAATATCCAGAGTCCTATTTGCACACTAGATTCTGCCTATGGTAGTCCACTGGGTGACAACAGCCTCAGATATTTCAAGCTAGTCTTACTGAGAAAAAACTCCAACATGGTGCCTCATCAAAACTGTCACAGCCAAATATTTTAGGAGAGCAAGCCTCACAGGTAAAGATGTAGAAACTAAACATACTCTATTTTTTCCTAGTACCTTCTTCTAAGTTTAAACTTATCTATTCCAGGGGTTAGGCCTGGCTCATACCTATAATCCCACCACTCTGGAAGGCCTAAGCAGGAAGATCCCTAGAACTCATGAGTTTGAGACAAGCCTGAGCAAGAGTGAGATCCTGTCTCTTTAAAAAAAAAAAAAAAGAAAGAAAAACTAGCTGGGTGTTTTGGCAGGTGCCTGTGGTCCCAGCTACTCAGGAGACTAAGGCTGAAGGATTGCTTGAGCCTAGGAGTTTGAAGTTGTTGTGGGTTAGGCTAACACTACCACACTCTACCCAGGGCAATAAAGAGAGATCCTATTTAAAACAAACAAACAAACAAACACACACAAATATAAGCAAACAAAAAACCAAAACAAACAAAAAAATCTTATGTATTCCATGGTTCTTTTTTTTTTACTTGAACTAGTACAAAGAGTTTTGTTGAAATACAAAACAAAGTTAAAAGAAAAATTTGAAACCAGTATTTCTAGACAGATGCAAAGAAATCCATCAAATATCAAGCTACATCCATTTTAGTGTTATGTGATGAGTACTACGTCCCTGTCTCTCAATGCTAACTGTGCTGAATTACTGGCTGCATTGGAAAACGTCTATTAATTGATTCAATAGATATTACTGACCATCTAGCTATTCTACATTCAGCAGTGAAGATGACAGCTTATAGCTCAATGAGGAACGGGTTAACGATATGAATAAACAGGGCAGTCAGGGTTCTGGAGAAACATATGACAAAGCGCATTAACAAATACATTTTTTTTAAAATAGACTACATAGACTAAAATAAAATTTACTTATTTAGCTAAATAAATTAAGGCAAGGAGTAAAATAAATTAGGCCAAGGAATAAAATATTATTAAGATCAGACAGCACTCTTCAATTTTTGTAGAGAGACTTACAGGGCATAAACTTATCAATTGGGTAGTCAGAATAAATTATCGTGACGTCCACTTTCACCCTTAAAAGTCGATAATGCTATAATCGTGAGCCAGTGTTCGGATCTGCTTATACACGCGTAAAATGTCCCTGCGTGGACACACAAAAAAACAAGAAGAGGGCTGCCCATAAAGAGAAGTAAGGAGACAAAGGAGGAAACGGACTTTACACAGCAAGCCTTTCGTGTTGAAAGTTTCCATTTTTAATTATATGAATATACAGTAGAGCTTCCACAGTGGACCAGCTCCCTGCACTGAGCCACGTCCTCGAGTGGCCCTGATTTTCATAGGCTGGACGTGCATCACCTGTGCATATCGGTACAGTAGCCCTAGCTGCTTACACTGACCACCTCCCCATGGTGACCAGTTTGCCACAGTCCACTTGGTGGTCAACTTACAGAGGTTCTACCACGTCCCCTACTCAAAAAATGAAAACAGTAATAAATGCATGCCACGCGTGGCACTGGATTTTGTCAGCAAATCCGAGTGTGATGTGAAAGAGGAGGTTATCTGCGTTGAGGTGTGCAAGTCAGTAATACAGACACGGAAGGCCACTGTGAAGACGCCCCAGAAGCAAATGAATGGTCCACCTAGTGACACTGGTCATCGATACCAACAAGACAGGTGTGCAATGGATCACAGCAAACAGGGAGAGGTGGTTACCTTCCTGTCGCAGCTCTTAGGGCTCCCGGCAGTGTTCGGCTTGAGGAAGCCAGCTGTCGTGGACCAGCGCGTGGGGTTTTTCCTTGAAGGCTCCTCAGAGGAGAAGTTGTTATCACTGACAGAAGTTGAGAGGCCAATTAAAGCTGGGTCGCTGCTTCGCCGGACATGCAGAGGCATATCTGAAAATATAACAAAGCACTGCTTAAAAATAAGATACTAGTGGCCGGGCGTGGTGGCTCACACCTGTAGTCCTACCACCCTCGGAGGCCAAGGCAGGTGAGCAACACCGAGACTCTGTCTCTACTAAAAATAGAAAAATTAGCTGGCTGTGTGAGCGGGCACCTGTGGTCCCAGCCATTCAGGAGGCTGAGGCAAGAGAATCACTAGAGCCCAAGAAACTGAGGTTGCTGCGAGCTATGATGACACTGAGGCACTCAGAGTGACAGACAGAGACTCTTACCTCAGAAAAAATAAATAAAAACAAAATAAAAATAAGATACTAGTATCTGAAACAATATGTTAGGATAATGTTGTAAAATCCCTAAGATTAAAGAATAGAATAACACTTTCTAAAAAGAGACAGTGGGTAAGCTAAGTAGAAACCCCATTAGTTCCTTTAAAATGCTTTCTGCTGGCTCAGCGCCTGTGGCTTAAGTGGCTAAGGTGCCAGCCACATACACCTAAGGTGGCAGGTTCGAATACAGCCCGGGTCGCCAAACAACAATGGTGGCTGCAACCAAAAAATAGCCGGGCGTTGTGGCGGGCGCCTGTGGTCCCAGCTACTTGGAAGGCTGAGGCAGGAGACTCGCTTGAGCCCAG